AAAAAATATTAATAATAAATTTTGTAACATAAAATGGAGGGAAAAATTTTAGAGGTTTTATTAAATAAGTTTTATTAAATGCTATATGCTAGCAATTATATATATATATATATATATATATATATATATAGATTTAAAAAAAAAATATTGAATATAATTAGTGCCAATATTGGATATTGAATAGAAAAAATGGACTTTCAATTTGTGAATTGTCGTTCCAAAGTCTATAGTCAAAGTGTGTATTTTTTTTTTCTCTAGAAATTTATCATTTAGGCTTAAATTAATTTATCCTTATCCCTAAGTAAGCTTGAAAGTAAATTAATTATATAGTTAGTAACTTGAAAACTAGAACTACTCAAATTAAGTAACTTGATAATTCATTTTTCTCTTTAATCATATGGGTGTGTGTGTAGATATATACTTGGTACTAACTAAGTACATCTAATTCGCAACCTAAATTGCAATAATGTATGTTGATATTTTTAGATTGGGTTAGGGGAATAAAGTTTGCAATGTGGCTCACGTCTAATTCAAAATCAAATAATTTAATCATATAAACAATACCTTTATTGGAAAGGCTAAAACTAAATAATATATAGGGCCAAGGTTAGAGCTAATTAATTAAGGAATCTTAGAACTCATAACTTTTAACTAAATTTAATGGACTAAATTAATTTACACTACAAGAAATTAAATTTCAGTTTAATTGACATAATAATTAAACTACGTATTTCGATAAACAAATTGCCATATCTTGGAATTGCTCATTCATTTATACTCATGACTAGCATCAACAACATCAACATCAACATCAACATCAACATACCCAGTATATTCCCAACAGGTTGGGGTCTGGGGGGTCAGTTGTACGCAGACCTTACCCTTATAATTATACAAGGAGACTGTTTTCATAACGACCCAAGGTGCGTTGCGTCGTTTGATATATTTTTTTTTCTAGAAACTTCACTAATAGGAGAAGCACTAGAATTTAATTGAGCCATTTTGATCTAGTCCATCATTTGCACTATGCCAGGAGAATTGTCAACAATGACTCTTCCAGCTCAATATGCAATGGACATATTCATGACTAGCATGAGACATTATATTTCAATTAATTAAACTAGCTACATATATATATATATTTTATTTTGATAATTACATATATATGGCAATCTAAATTATATATCACGCGTCTACGTATATTAATAAAATCATGTCTTCCTCGATCGGTTGATATATGGACATTTAAGTTTTAACTCTTGTACGCATGCAACGTAACTCACTAGCATATATAGTAAATTAAACTTTAATTGGTTACATATATAGATGATTATTTTGATAAAAAATATTACTACCATGCGTGATTGTTCATCTAAATATCTTTTTTCTTTTTTTTTTTTTTTTTTGGGTACAAATTGTTCATCTATATATCGTCAACACATCAATATACATCCATGAGATAATACGTGTCAATTTTTTTTTTTTTATTTTTTTTATCTTTCAATCATATACGAATAATTGTCTTTTAATCATATATATACCTAAGTGTATGATATGTTAATATTATACACATCAGTTCGTGAACTTATATATTAAACTCGTGCCCCTAGGATACATTTTTATTTTTTATTTTTTAATTTTTTGCTTATTTGTTGTAGTCGAATTGAAATCAAACAACATGAAAATTACAGTACTTAAATTTATTTAAACATTTTCCAATATTAATTTGTAAAATATTAATAAAGTCCCCTTTTTTTGTTGATCAGTAGTGCTGATTTTATATATAGAGTACTGAGTGAGTGGCATAAAAAGTAGGGGGGTGTTATGATATATGCAAATTAGTGATGGGTGGTGGTGCA